GTATATTGTATTGTAGCTTCGCTTACATCGACAAAGCATAAGAAATATGCAGTGGATATAAAAGTCTCTGTACCTTTGTAAAATGAAACGTAGAAAATGAGACCAAGCTAAGCTACAATGCAACTTTTTTTTTTCTCTATTAATGTGACCCAGGCCTTCTAAACTGTAATACCCAGTTTTGGAAGGAATTCCTTATTTTGATTTGAATTTATATGTTGGGCTGTTGTGCATATTTCTAGCAGAGTCTTAAAGGTGTTGTGCCAACATTTATTAGTGTTTGGAACTAGGGTTCCTTCCCAAAGCATAATGCTGCCACCACCATGCTTCACTGTGTGCAGTGTTCTTTTGGTGATGCGCAATGTTGTTTTTGAGCCAAACGGGGAAATTATACACATAAATGACACATTTAAGGTGGAAAAATAGTATAAATGATTTATCTTGATATCATGTTTTACACCATAATAATCACGTACTGCTTTGTGTAGACTTGTTATATCCGTGATAAAATGTGTGTTCCCTTTCCCCACAGATACCTAATGACACGTACTACCAACAGTTAGTCAAGATTTTTGCTTGAATTAGCATCTATGTAATCCAGATGAAAAACCAGGCACTAGTGGCTTTTTATCAGTAATTTCTTACAGTTGTCTCATTCATTTCCTGTGTCAAAAATTGGATTTAAATATATCTATTATATATTGACTTTATCATTCTCTGTGAACGCTTACAACATTATGGGCCTCTTAAGTGAGAAATTTGAGCTTATATTAGATTTTGATTTAAAAAAAAAGGCTAACTTTATCTACAACTCTCTCTCCTTTTGCGCAGAGTGTTCAGCATGAGAACACCTATCGAAACCCCCAAGCAAAGTACTGCTATGGTGAGAGTCCTCCAGAACTTCTACCTGTGTGAACTGGAACTACCTAGTTGGTTTAAGAAGAACAAGTGGAACCATAAATCATTTTTTTTAAAGTATTTGAAGAAGAGACTTGATAAAATAAATGCTGTTTTGGACAGTTTGGCATTATCTTTGCAGATGAAGACATTCAAAACGTCCAACCTCAGAGAGAAGGACAAATGCTGTTTTTAAACTGTATTATTTACACTTCATAAGTGCATAGAACGCTTCATACATTCATCCATGATGATCATCAGGTCTCCTGCACAGACAGCTTCCTCATTGTATTAAGAAACTGGTTTAATCTTAACATAGCTGTTTTCTTTGTGGACAAAACTGAAATGGCTAATGTGTTGGTGCTTTTGTGTGTATTGCATGCATATAAAATGGATATTTAATAAAAAGTGACTGTGAAACAGAAACATTTATAGTCGTTTCCTTTGTGGTGACTGCTGACGGTAAATGTTGTTGTTCAATGCAAAGTTTAAAGTACCATAAAAGAGTCATGCAAGTCAAAAAATCTTGAAATGACAACTTTATTGATACAACAAAAAGTATACATATACTTTCCAAATCCATGAATGTGGATCAGCACATTGACAAAATTAATTTAAGTCTGGAGAAACGTTACACATTTTGAACACTAATGTAACAGTTATGCAAAAGAATAAATGGCAAAGAATGAATTCATCACCTGATGTGATGAGGATGAGACCAGAATTAATCATCTCATGTTTTACAATATTGCTTTATTATTTCTTTGATGCAAGGCTGGATACCCATCTGGCTGCAAATTTCCCTGCCCAGTTTGTTGATTAAAGGCTAAACCAACAACCCTCAGAAAGCGATTCTTCCAGATGAACTTTTCCCCTCAGGCAGTTTGGTCTTCTCACAAGGGATGGGTGACCAGAGCAAAACAATTAATCACTGTGAAGGCTAAGAAAACACTCTTCTGTAATTAAGTGAATTAGAACTCCTTCTCAAGTTGATTAATTACAGCCACAGAGAAATGTGTCGATTGCTGGAGGTTATCAAATTTAATAAAACAGTCATTTCCGATATAGCTTGTATGTAGCAATGTCTTAATTTTAGTAAACTGGCCCATGTAGGTGAAATGATGCACAGGAAGTATAGAAAAATCCTAACCTAGCATAATGTTAGCTTAACAGCAATACTTAGAAGTATGATAATATTCCTTTTAGCAAGTAATCTCTTCCATTTTATTTTGAAGTTTGCCACTTTTATTATAATTTTAAGTCTTGGTTTGGAAATGTATCCTTAGTATTTTTTTCTGTATTGCTATGCTAAATGGCAGCTATTTATTTTCTAAATTAGACCAACTGCTTCTGAACTGTGCTCCTAAAAGATAAATATGAGTCATATTGGCTGTTTGATAAACACAAGTTTATGTAAGTTGTACCATTAGAGTTGTCAGTTTACTTTAAAATTATTATTATTATTATTATTATTATATAACCTACTTTCAATTATTATAGTCTTACAAAGGTAAAAAAAAATGCTGCATTAATGTAAGTCACTAATGGTGAAGTTAAAGGCACTAGTTGTAATCAGATCAGCATTTGAAACAAACTATTTTCAGATGAGATCACAAATAATGTACACTGCCTTCTAGGTATTTAGAATCAGTGCTACTAGCATGAAGGGTCTTTTTGCTAATCTGTCTGGCCTTTCTATCTGGAATTATATGCTGCAGCCAACCTAGATATTTCTCGGCTGACATCAACAGAGTATGGCTCCACTGTTTCCTCTCAAAACCATACTCAGGCTTCTTGGGTGGCAATATTTTCTTTGGACATTCGGCCTTGAAAGACAATCTCACACACCCTTTAAGCATCTTGACTTGTTCAATTGTTTCTCTAAGCATATTGTGAAGTGAGATATTTGTGGGATTCAGATCATCCTTCTGATCCTCCAAGATTTTCTCCAGACCTTCAGCCATGAAAGTGAGGCTACACAGGACTTTTGATGCATTGAGAGGAGAGTTTAGGTGAACCTCCAGCTCAGGGAATCCAGGCGACCAAGTACCAAGGTGTTCCCCATTGGCTTTGTCCTGAAAGAAAGGTCCATTACATACATTAATAATGTTGTTCATTACATACCAAGGCTTATGGACACTTTGCTAATGTCTTAAATGTAATTTCAACATGATCTTAAAGTTAACTGACTCAGTTACTAAATCAGGAAGTATTTCTTTCATCAAAATGCACCTTCTGTCCACTCATGAGGCTCATTAACCGACATCCCATTCAAGACTTGAGTCAGTTAAGATTCAGAGTGCTGATAAATACTCTGAAAATATCCACAGTTACATTTAGTTTACCTTTGTAAATACTATGCTGGTGGCATGGCAACAAAAAAAATATACACTGTGCTGTGATGTACTGAGCAGAATATTCACAACACTTATTTAAATTCTGATATTTTAAATGAAGGTTTTGTCACATATTTCTTATTTTTCTTCCTGTATATGTTGCATTTAAACAGTGACATATGCATATTAAAATAAATTTTTACTGTGCATATTAAAAATGCATATTTTTATTATGCATTTTTATTAAAATACATATTTTACGCATTTTTTGCTTAAACAAAAAATGCATAGTAACAGCTTTAAAATGCAACCGATTAACTTTGAAGCTAAAAGAATAATAATAAAAAGAATTTAAAGTGCATTAAAATGGCAGCAACCTAAAAGCAAAGCAAACCATTCTTGCTGATATGAGCACTAGAGCATACTTACAAAGTTTAACAAGGTGCCTCTCATCTGGTGTCTTGTGAGATTTGCCATATCTTTCAGTTTGCAACTTTCTCCAGCAGTGCGTTTTGTTGCAGCATTTCTTGCCACCAAGCCCTCCACCAGCAGCACCATGCAGGCGCATGCCACCCCAAGCAGACCTGCAAATGTCAGTGCACAATTTCAACATTTTGGAACAATGTTGAAATTGTTCCAAGGAAGTATATCTGCAAGGAAGTATATTAAATTATACTGTAGATGCAACTGTATCAGTGGAAATAATAATAAAAAAAAGTTAATGGCATACAGTACCTGCTCCGTCTTTCATTTTTGTTGGGCACAGAGTTTGAAACGATGGATCAATAAAGAAATGTCAACTCAATCAAACAGAATCATATGTACATTTATGACCTGGCTAAAAGAGGCGTGTGCAAAATGTGCTGAAGATAAACTCCCCCTATCTCCAGTCATGTCCTTTTTTGCAAACATAAAAGTGATACTCCTATCAGCACAGGGTTCATTCATTAAGTCAGCATCTTACCATGATTTTTGTCGCTTCCACTGAAGGAAATACTGCAAATGACACAAAAACACTATGAACTTCACAAAACTGTCTCAAACTGAACAGTGGTGCAATTTTAACATTTCTAACATTTTTGTGTGTTTTTTTTTTTTTTTTTTTTTTTTTACTGCTAACCAGAAATCCAAAATTTGCATCAAGTCTCTTCAACGTCAGCTGATTTCTAGGTACTTTTATGGCGTAAGATTTTCGCTATGATTGATTCATTACCTTTCCGATAGGCCTCTGCTTCCTGTGCGTCTTTGCAACTTACCACAAGTTAACTAGAAGTATTACTTCAATAAAATAGCTAGTGAAAGGAAGACCACTCTGACTCACAAAGCATGCTGACAAGATCATAAACTTGAATGCATTTATCTAAAATCTAATGCCTTTACAAAGGCTGAGACTGTTGCTGTCCATTTTCGTAAACAGAAAACACACACCTCAAAATTTAATTGCAAAATGTAATTTATAGAAATGCAAAATATGAATGCTACAATGTTGGGCATTCATAATTTAAAGCAATAAATCCTAAGTAAAAACAATTAGAGGTAAAAACAAACAGAAACACTTGCTGCTTCAATGAGAGTGCAAAAAGCTGTTTCAGGAGCCTCACCTAGTAACTGGAACATACCACCTTCTGAGTATGTGGGTAGCTCAAACACATAAATATCCCTAAAATAATACAAAATGATCATTTACAAAAAAAAAAAAAAAAAATCCCAAGTCACTGACACCAACATTTTTGAAAGATTTTATTGTTAGAAAGTCCAAAACATACCTTTTGACATTTTGACTGTAGCTCCCTCTTCACTGTAATGGACCCAAATGATGCAAACCTGTTTTCACTCATCTCTTGATTGAGCAGATGATTTACACTACAGTCAGAAAAACATGACTGAAATGAGCAGAAGTAGAACAGAAATACTAGTGCTTGGTAATGTTTGGTAATGAAGCACTGTAAACATTATAGAAAGGAAGGTACAGTCTTTTCTCCAGTCCAACTCCTGTTCATTACAATATACTTTCCCATTTAGCGCTATGTGAAAATTATAATAATTGTAACGGCAATATAGTTTTATTTTTTTCATGCCATTAAAATAAGTACATTTGGGAAGTACTCAGTGTTCAGGTTGCTACAACATGCCTACAGGTCTGTTTAAAAGTGAGTAAAGCTTAAAGTTCTTATATTACCATTGACTGCATGCAAATGCACTGGGAGACTGCACACTGTTTCAAAATAAAACATTAAGAATAATTGATTAAATGTATCACCCTACAGAAACTAAAATCAAGGAATTTTAGGTTGTATATAT